AAATTAAAAAAATGCATCAATCCATTGGGCGTAGTAACGAACGTCCAATCTTAGTGCTGGTACACTTTGAATATGGACTTGCGAAATAATTCCTCAAACATAATTACAGTTTGTATCAAAATTGATGTATTACTATGCAATATATATTTTAAACATACTTATGGTATATTCAATTGGACCGTTATATTGTGTACTGGTATATTGTATAGACTTTTGCTATTGCTACCCTTATGAGTTTTCATAAATAATGTTTAACTGCATAGTAGACCCGCTAAAACGAAGAGGAAGACTGGTTCATACTTAAGTGGTTATATATGTGTATATTGTATGCGAAACAGTGTATAATGGATTAAACTTTTAAGTTTCAGTGATGGAACGAGACGAATTGTCCATTGGAAAATCCGAGCAAATCAATGAGGTAGTTGGTGGATACGATAATGACCCAGGAGAGCCCAGGTGACAGGGACAGGGTCCAGGTGATCAGGGTTGACCCAGGAGTACCAAAGCGAAAGGGCCAGGGTACCCAGGAGTGCCCAGGCGAGAGGGCCAGGGTTGACCCAGGAGTGCCGAGGCGGGAGGCCTAGATTTTACCCAGGAGTGCCCAGGTGAGAGGGCCAGGGTCCTAGTAAAGGAGTAATCGTGTAGCCTCATGGTCCTATTTTGTATCGGCGAAGTACATCGCCGTTGGGCAGCGCTGCGAAGTGAACCGAAGGAAGGCGTAGCTAAAGAAACCACGGCATCAAATCCAGCTCGTCATTTAAAAGTTACGTATCACCAGGTACTCAGTCATTGCATATGCATAAACAAGTAATATTATAATATAAATTACAATATTTTAATACAAACCCTGGTTAAAGGGTGTATGTACTAATAGTATAAAGGGTGTAGTAGATAGATAACCTATTCTATGTTAATATCACAAAAACAAATCTATTTGTTATGGGTTTACGACAACTTGGGTGTTAACCAAATTGAACAAGACAAGTCCTCTGTATAATTTGTTTAGCGCTTGCAGTAGGTATGTTACGAATACGTTACTGAATAATATTTTCTTGTAATTAATAATTGGATTGGGAGGACAATCTTTTAGTAGCGAAACTGTCTTACAGTTAACTGTTAATAACCGGAAATTGACTATTAATGTTTTGTAATACCTAAGCTGTTACACTGAACTTGAGTGACGTGTAATGTATGTGGTTTATAATGATATGATCATTCTTAAACAAAGACGGGATTATTTAAATAAGTTCTATAAACCATATACCGTACACCTATAATTGTAATAAATTGTTTTAATGTTAGTAAAGAGGTCGTCGTGATATCAATGGTTACCATTAGTTTTCAATATTTTTTTGGATCTCGTTTAAATCATTAAATGAATTATTATCACATTCTAAGTTACTACAGAAATAATTAAACAAAGCACATGAATAATCGATTGTAATATCGATTTGTTGAATCTGACTTAAACTACCTAAATTACTGATTTTTCTTATTATAAAATGAAACACCGCTGAATCTAGGAAACTGTATTAAACAAAAGTACAATTAGCGCCATCTAGCGAAAAAACACAGAATTATTCCCGACAGTATGATTTCGTAAATATTTTTATTCAAATGTCATATCTCGAAACTAAAATTGACTAGTTACTCATAACTATCAGCTGTAATAGGAATATTATCTAAGTTACTAGGTCTCACCACTTAAATAGTTATTTAAGTAAAGCAACTTTTACGCGCTGCTTATATTCTGCCATACCTTTAAGTCCTTTTTAAGTTAGAAATAATCCCTTAAATGGAAATCTATTCATTATCTTTTACCGTAGTAGAACAAAAAAAAAAAAATATTTGCAATATTTTCCACTGTTCGTGCTATTAGTAATCTGGAATTTTATTTTGCCAATTTTGAGGAAATTACCATTCATAAACATTCTTCAGTTTGAATAAATATCTTAAATGACATAAATACTAAGTTGTACCTATCTCGCGGATTTTCAGACGACTTTCGATATATTATAGATGATCTTTCTCTGAGACTTTTGTTTAAAAATTAATAAATATGCTTTTTCAATTAGTGTAGAAAATCTAATCCATTAAATAATTCTCTTTTCAATACAATTAAATTATTTATTCAAGAAACTAAACGTATAATACTGGTAGAGCTCCCTGTGTTATGGAAAACAAATACGAGTGAAACATGTAATAAGAACAAATAAATATTAAGAACTAATAATCGAATTAACGAAATATGACTATGCGGTTAATCTATAGTTATGGTGGAAATGAGAAGTAAACCAGAAATCTCACGACGATCTTCCAAAAGATCTTGGCCTGTATAGAACTATAGTGAGTTCTATACTGGAATGTGTAAACTTGCATTGGCAGGTTCCTACTTGATTTGGTTGGGCAAAAAAAAGAGTCGCGAGGGTTGAGGGTGTTGACGTATCCGTCGACAAAGGGGTCTCTAACTGCTCGGAGAAACCCTCACTGCCACACGATGGACCAGGTGTCCTCACGGTGGTGTATCCATGGAATGTTGGTATCTTTTAAAATTGCTCTAACCTCTTTCATTAATATATTATTTCTAAAGTTCATGAACCCCACAAATATCTGATATATGCATTTTTGTATATAGACTCCACTTTGCGTAATATAAGTGACACTTCATATAACTATGTATATATAAAAAAAAATGTTATAGGTTTATTACTTTATTAGGTTCTAGTTTGTTTTGTTATTTAATCTTCTACAAATTTTCGCAAACTCTTACAATTTATCAATCGTGTGCAGATCAATGTAACCTAGTGCCGACGACTAATGATCTATTAGTATTACGGTAATTCCTTGACAATGGATTGAATGAATCGTTGACTTTCCATGGGTACACATCTATGTATACGGAATTGCGGATGGACTGAAAAAAATAATATGTCTATTGGATGAGAAAATTATATCTTTGTATATTTTATTATTATTATGTATATTTTAAACAAACTACAATTACTAAGCATATTTCAGGAATCTTGAAAACATATGACGATTTACATGATAACTGTTAACTAATTTTCATGACTGTATTAAAGAGACAGTTATTTGACGTTAAACAACTACAAAATAGGTATACCGAACTAATTAAAATGTCAATTATGACAATCTTGCTATTTGAAAGTTTGTATTTGCACAAGATCATAAATATGTGATGCTGAGCAATTGTTTGAAAAAGCAAAGCGCAGGTTACTTGCTCGTTCTTTTGACGAGCGAATTGTTGTGACTGTTCAGGGGTATTTGTGTTGGGTCTGTATTTCTTATTTGTTACATTGATCATTTTTAATTTTACATTAGGTATTTTATATGGTTAGATCTGTAGAAATCAATATAAATATAAAGACATTTAACGATTTACTAAGATGTTTAAAATGTGTCTAGTGTGTTGGAGGTTCCCCCTCCAACATACTCGCTTTTGTGGCACAGATTTACCTAATTCGAAAGTCAGGGCTAAATATAATAAATTATTATATATATTTGTTAATAAAGATTATCATTACCATATAATAAAGGGAAATAGTTGTTCTTTTGAATGTTGTATGAACTTACCAATTAAATTGGCACACCTCATGAGATAATATAAACGAAATATATAGCAAAACTGTTGTAACACCTTATTGATTATCCATATTTGCAAATAAAATGTTGTTATTATTATTAAGGAAAATAATATCTTTGTTATTCTATTATATAATTGTTTATAAATGTTTCAGTTTATATTAATTTTCGTATAGTGACGTTTTGAGTATGTTAGCGTTATTGTTGTAAATAATAAACATTACATAATTGTTCAATTTATGCTGATCATAACCATGCCTGGTCGTAATGGCGCGCAGGGACTCGCTTCGAACAGGATGGCCGAGCTGTTAGCTTCAATACCTAAAGAACACTCGGTTGACTAATTTGTTACTTACATTTCATTCATTAAAAACCATAGTAAGTCACGTGAAGTTGGTGGCGTCACGATTATGCCGCCACCAATAGGAATAGAGATAAAGAGGCCGGGAACAAGGAAGGAGCGGGCTGCTCTCTTTGTTCGAGGCGACCGAGACGACCAGTCGTGAATGTACAGCGACGCAATTTATGTGGAGTGTAATTTGAAGAAAGGAATAAACTAAATGTACTACTGTATCGACGTATCATTTCTGAAACTTCCCAATAGTACCGTATTTATATTCATATGCATATAGTAAAAAAGGGTTAGTATAATATTACAAAGACACTCCAATTTCATAGAATCATCAAAGAACTTTCAGAATTAAGGACGATATCAAGTGAAATGCATACAAAGAAAATATTGTTACAACTCATATTATCATACTTAGTTATTTAATGCACACAATTTTTAAAATATTTTTATAATAATTTTTGTAGCTTAATTATTGTAAAAATAATTAAACAATAATTTAATAATTGGCAAACACCCTTATATAGTACTAGCTGGTCCGCGCAATTTCGTCTGCTTCACACTTACTTGACATTAATTATTATAATTCACCCATTTTATATAATATATTTTTAAATTATAACCTATATGATATTTTGATGTATCATCATTACATAGTATAAAACAAAGTGGCTGTCGCTGTCTGTCCGTCCCTATATATGCTTAAATCTTTAAAACTACGCAACGGATTTTGAAGCGGTTTTTTTAATAGATAGAGTGATTCAAGAGGAAGGTTTATATATATAATACATGTACACCCGTGCGAAGCCGGGGCGAGTAGTTAGTAAGCTATATTAAAGTAAAGTTTCATTAAAAACTCTTCAGTAGTTTTTGTGTGAAAGAGTAACAAACATCCATTGTATAAATTGTAACTTTGTGACCGTTTTTCGCCTTGACTGCCTCAACGTTTTTTGTTTATACACAAAGGTTATCTGATGGAAAATCCTATACGTCATTAAACTTTTTGTACAAGTTTCATTGTGTAATTAAGAATATATAAATATATAACCTTTTGCTGTTGTAGCGTCCGTCGAATCCAACAACAACGCCGTTGTGTAGTTGACTCTGGTTGCACTGCTTTTGTATGTATGAACACAGACCCTAAAACAAATCATTTCTGTTAAGATAACATCTTATGGATCTTTCTAATAGCTGTATTTGAAAATGGACCCGCCAGCACTATACACTGGCGGGGCACCAGTGAAGAATAAGGGGAAAATGGAACTGAGTCATCATTTTTCCTGATGATTATTTACTGGAAACAAACAATCCTTCAAATACAAATTTAAATACATTTATATATTTTGACCTTTAGTTACCTATAACATAATAATAATTAACACACATTATCATAAGAGTGAAATACGAACCAACAGTATCTCCAAGTGTTAATTGAAGCAGCCCTTACTTGTGCAGTTTGCAGTATAACTACGTAACAGTGTGTCCAAGTGTTAATCTTTACATTGTATAAATTATATATAATACTACACTAATACACGTGAAATAACCTATAGGCTATAAATTGCACGCAGATGAAACCGCGGGCGCAGCTAGTACAGCATAAAACAAAGTCGCCGCTGTCTGTTCGCTTATTTCTTTTAACTTTCAGCAATAGATGGACTGATTCAAGAGGAAGGTTAATATGTATAATACATGCGTGTTATAGTATAGAACATATATGAATGCATAGAAAATGAGAGAGAAATGCATATATGAATCCATGCGAAGCCGGGACAGGTGCTAGTTATAAATATAAAGGATCTCTTACTTGTGCAGTTTGCAGGATGACTACATCGTTCATACACATGTAGCCGGCCCCCATGCGCCCGCGCAGGCCGGCCGTACCGAATTTCTGTCTGTGCAACATTGTTTTCTTTAGCTTGTCCCATCGTGCATGGGCTATGTCATCCTCTACTTCTTGGATTGTTTTTGGGTTCTGTGTATAATAACAATTACACAATAAGGGGCCATTATAATATACGTCATAAAAACACAAAATTTTAACTATTAAAATGAGACAAGTTATGACAGGATTTCAACCTGTATTTGAAATGTTATTTCAATATATTTCGCGCCGCCTCTCAGGGGTGGGAGAGGTCCTAGATTTCATCAAGATTGTGACATTGGTAACAACTTTTTAGATTTTCAGATTTTGCCAAATAAATGAGGAAACACCACTACACATCCTGTGTAGTTATATCCTAGTCATGCATAAACAAAATATCTCCGTTGGAAAGTAAACACTATCCTGAGGAGACAAAAACCATTGCTCCTAAGAATATCCTTTAATTCGGTCGGTTTTTCGGTCAATTTACATAATACCTTCTAATTTATAGCCTATTTGAAACTAATGTTACTGCTACACAACCTGTGTAGTAATATCCTAGTCATAGTTTAACGATGGTCTTTAATAACAATGTTAAACACATTCAATGCCGTCAGACAGCAGACATCAAAATATACACATTATGTGTGGATCACATACAATGTATGACAGCCTCAGTCTAGCACATAAACCTACTACCCAGGGTTTTGACTTCTCATACAACACAAACAAAGAAATTTGTTAATATTCCAACAAAAAAAATTGTATTATATGAAAACACAGATTTTTATAATTGTTACATCTATTACAATCTTTCTGTGTATCCTATTTAAAAATGGCTACTCATTAGATGACAGTGACTCCTGTACCTGTATGTTTGTTTACACACATACATATATTACAGTATTTAACTAAATGTATCACTTGTTTAGTAACCGTAATACAAGCTTTGGTTACTTTGGGATTAGATAGTGCTGTGTGAATTATATTTGGTTATTATTATTATACAAAACTTCAAAACAGTAAGAATATAAATAAAAGAGTAATAAACTAAAAACTGGTAGCTCAGAGGACAGGTTTAAATATGGTATAAGACAGTCAGACGGCACTGTTTACCATAACATGCCGAGTCTAGATCACCATTGTCTGACAAAGATAATAATCAGGAAAGAAATTTGTTTATTATTTTATCTTAATGAAATTTACATACATATACCAATTCAAATTTGGAATAATGAAAACAACAGTTCTCATGGCAAAATGAATGATTTGAAAAATTAATTTTAGTTAGGATATGAAAATCTTTATATATAAAAATTATGTGTCACATTGCTTGTCCGCAATGGACTCCTAAACTACTGAACCTATTGCAAATTTGATTTACACATTGTGTGCAATTTGATCGAACCTGAAACATAGGATAGCATACATCTCAATTAATAGTCGCAATATTATTTTATTCAAGAACCTTAGCCACAGCGACGCGTTGCCGGGTCTGCTAGTAATCCATAAAGTATATATAGTATAAAAACTTTACACAGAAATGGATCAATTTTATTTTATTTTACTATAATTTAAGACTTAACTAAAATTATTATCCACTATTCTTTATTCTATTGCAGGTTTTGTATGAATATTTCCTAAAATTATAAAAACGCTACAATATAATAAAAAATAAACTATAAACAAAATGCAGCAATTCAATGACAACATTTTGTTAATCCTAATATTTAAATTGCTGTATTAAATACTTACCTTGTCGTGTTTTAACCAACTATTAACTGCCACATCCAATTTATGGTCACCGCTTTGGCAAATGGTCATTTTAGCTGGATTACTGCCAGATAGTAAGGTTATGTTTTAAGAATTAACAAAATTAGAACCTATTCAATTTAAAACTCAATTTGAACAACAGGTGTAACAACTGAATTGCACGTTAAATAACTATTAACAGAATAATGTATAAAAAGAATATATTATTTGTACAAATTTAGAAAATTATTAGACAAAATTTCTTTAGCGAAGTCTAACACAAAATAGTGGTACTTAGTCAAACAAGGACACAAAAATAATAATACACTATCATTACAAAATAAATAATAATAAATCACAATGTATTACAATGAAAACAAGTTGAATGTGACATTTAGATTTATATATAAAGAGTTAAAGTGATGTATTTGAATTTATATTATGTATAATTTGAAATACAATAGAATTTTAAAAACTTTAAATTCAATGTTACCAGTATTTGCCTTCATTCTACTTTAATTCAAGAAATTTATGTATTTTCTTATTTTTGGTTGCAGCTTAAAATTATTATTATTAAAATAAAACTTTACGAAACTACTATGTTACAATAAATGAATTAACAAAAATTTATTTTTAACAAAAGCTTAGCTTTTTCTAGTTGTACTATGTAATGTTATCTTATCTGTGGTTGTATACACTCGACAGAGTGGTCATGGCTTTCATAATGATATCAGCGACCGGTAGATTCTCTTCGTAGTCGTCCTTGGTGATAGAGCTTCTCGCAATTTGTCTTCATCTGGTAAATAGGATAGGTACAGTGGTACAGTTAACGTAGAAGATACTAATCGGACCATAATTTACATGACAGAAATACATATTTTTTATGCTGTATAAAATAGTGAAACATGTATATATATATATATAGATATATAATAATATATTTACTAATAATTTTTACCCTAATTATAGATATATTAGCGTAAACTGTCAACACTGGTAGAGTTCCGTCTGACTGACACATATTGACATTGACAACTTAACTGACAGTATTGACTGCCGGTATCGGGTGCGTAAATTTTTATTTTTTATACTGTTTTCGTAATATGTCACCTGAGACCCAAAAATATAAGTATATTGCGTAAAATTAATAATCAATTATGATAAAACATAATTAGCATAAAAATACCTAGATCGATATAAACCTTCAAGTATATACAAATATTATAATTAGGTAGCTATGATAAATCAATTTAACGCCTGATATGGTTATGGATATTGAAGTTACGCAGTTTTCTATACATAAAATAGCAGGCGGTATATGTACTAAGGAACATTGGAACGTTGTTACAATTTTAATGAAACTACTATAATATTGGTCGTGTTGCGGAACTATTTAGTTTATTCAAATTCAAATTAAAAATTCAAATTATCTTTATTCATGTAGGTCTATTATAGACTCTTATGATATGTCAAATCTAGCGTCAGATTGGAATGATTTCGAGAAGAACTGACAAGAATCTCAGCTCGTATTTTTTTCAAATTAATATATTATACATGTTTACAATAATATAGTTTAATTTTTATCGTTAGCAATGGGGTATAGCAATTAGTCTATATTACTAACAATCCCCTTACCCCCTATACTAAGGTCATGTAATATTATCTTCTAATCTCTAATCTAATCTAAGGTAGAGGTGGTCTGATTCATTTTGCCTTTGTCACACACTCGGTCATCAGCACCCCCCTGCGACAGAGCTAACATTCAAACCCTTAGCGGTACCCTCAGTCGTATCCGTCAGGCAAGAGTTGTCTCAGCCAGTCCAAAAGCCTTTCAGTGGGTTTGGAGTACCGGTGAAGCCAGCCAGAGTAAAAGCCAGTTACGGCAAACAGCATTAGAATAGTTCGAAAAAAGAACTATTGTATAAACTACAGGCGATATATAATATTTCTGTACAAAAAATATATGTTATCTGTTGTTGCCTACATGCAAATGAAATAACTAGTGGTCGCCCAGTGGTCGAAATTCGACCATAATAAATTTAACATTCGGTAAGACTATAGATAAAAAATAATAAATACAAACAATGTTAATAGACTCTCAATGTAACCACAGACATATATATGTATGTGTGTCAAATACATGGTAGTGTGTATATTTTTTTTTATTTAATGCTTTATTATGCATATCTTAAGATACATTAGTATTCTGAACTCTTTCTCTGTATAAACTATAAAAGTGCGATATTTCATACTCCTCCACCCGCGCACTTTTCGTAAAAAGGGGTACAATTTTTGATTCACATATTATTAAAAAGATTATCGGCGACTGACCACCGCGAAGTCTTTTAATATTCTTTTTATATAAATTTAGTAGGTATTTAATAATATTAATCGTTCTTTTCATATGTCATGTTTTTTTGAAATTTTTCATTATTTTCTTACCGTAGTTCAGATGCATTGTAATGTTATATTGCACTATTATAATCTTCGTGTTTTCATCATAAACACCCATACAATCTACTGATCCGTTACAATATTGACTTCTATTATCTATTTTTTACTTTTTTTAATGTTACTACCAAACAGGCAGATATCATAGTAATAAAATTTAAACTTTGATTTCAATATATTAAGTACATTGTCGCACAACTAATTAAATGATAAATACCAATGACAATTTAACCCGTAGGGGTATTAGGCTTAGGTTTTAAGACTGATTGATTGAGAGCTGATAAATACTTGCATTATTAAATGTCTTACCGAAAAGAAATATTTTTTACGATCCATCACAAAAGCAATCTTTGCAAATGGTTCTAATTAATAGATAAAATACCTAACAATATTTCTAGGGATTATTATAATTAGTTGTATAAATTAGTAGAGAATATTTTATTCCTCGGAATTAGAAAAGATCATGAGTTCGAATATGGCTCATATAAAAAAAATGTATGTACATAAGTCTATAATTCTGATAGCCTATTCAGTAATGGAAACGCCGATAACAAATCATAATCGTATGCATGCACGTCTTTACCATATCTGATTCACCTACTCAGTAAAAGGTGGGTGTGGCATCACGACTTCATGAAGACGCATGAGCTGGATTTTTTATATTTTGGGTTTTTAAATAATGAAAGGCATTGTTGGTAGTTGTTACCCGGTCGGCCATAGATCCCAGAAGGAAGTGTGAAGGCAGAACCTTTTTTCTACTCAATATCTTGCCACAGAGCACTATATAATATCTTATACAGCTCAGATATTATATAGTGCTACTATATAGATTAATTATCCTTTAATATAATTTAACAGTAGGCTTGTCAAATGTTGACCAAACCATGACTCTATGTCATGGTAAACGAAACACTGGTAAATTGACAATGATTCCGATTACCTCATCTAGGATCCTAGTTGTGAAACTGTATTATGTATATTATTGACTAATACCATAGACAAGATATTATTACATTGCTAATATTTTAGCGAGTATATTTAAAAGTCAATGTTTTATTGCTTTTGCTTAGTGTGTTATGCTTTGATAAGCTTTTAAGCTAAGCTTTTAAGATTTGAATTAACGAACTTATCTAATACTCAGTGTGGTATACTTACATCTACAACACTCCCAGCTTCTTCACTTTTATCCGTTTATTTTTATTTATTTAAATTTCTAGTACATTAATATTAAGCGTAGATGTTATACATGTATTTATACAGACAAAGCTGTTTATATACAGATGCATGTATATCTCTGACGTCACTACTAGTTGATTAGGAAACGGCTCGTTCAATCAGTGATGGTCAATCACATAATTGTAATTGCTGTACAGGAACAAAGCACTCCGAGCTGGTCTACTGGGGGACCTTCCTTCTGGAACATCCGTATAATTTGATGCCATTTTAACCGACTTTCAAAATGAGGGTCTCAATGCAGTTGCATATGTACCTATGTTTTTATATGTAATTGCAATGTTAAAGAAGTTAATGGATCACCTGTTGGTAAGTGATAGTCGCTTTGTATATATATGTTTTTAATTTACGTCTATGGTATATACTTCATGTTATGCCCATGTAATTAAACCGTCAGAATCTTCTCTGTATCTATACACTATTATTTCTCTGGTATCACCTAAACTTTTTTTTATGTTCTACCGAATATACCTTTTTTTTTAGTATCTATAGTAATATCTGCCGCTTCCTTTGTGACGACATTCTTTCGGCCTATTTTTTTATCCTGTACATATATTCCTAACCTTTTTTATCCTTATACTACTTATTGCAAATACCTCTACGTAATACCCTAATTATACATTAATATTTACACTACTTATTCTTATTACTTATTGTTTTTAGGACTCCTGTTGCATATTCCAAAAATACATATTTGTTTATCATATTTACTTATAATTAGCGAATATACCAAGGGACTGTCTTGTAAAGAATTGTTCGACACGATGCCTACGGCTACCATTTACTATCGCACTGCTCGCCATCTACAGGGAATTTATCCCCACGCGTTGAAACCTAGGACAGTGTGGTTTCAGAGGAGCTTCCTCCCGCGTACATTTACTCGGAATGAACTATCAGCCGAGGTTTCTCGTAAAACTTCGCGGATTCACTCGCATTGAATCCATTAAATAAGTATTGGAGATCATTACAATAGAAATGAATATTAGTAAGGATTACTGGCTGTTAGATGGCGCTGAAGTAGCAAGGTGTAGACATTATTTTTTTTTTGTTTTTTATATTTTTTTTTTTAAATAATATGTCATCATCCTATGTTCATTCTAATACCTCAAAGAACATGTGTACAAAATTTCATGATGATCGGTTCAGTTGTTTTTGTGTGAAAGCGTAACAATCATCCCTACTTTCACATTTATAATATTAGCACATATAACTGATATGTAAGGATTTTTTTATTTTTATTTATTTAACTTTAATGCACAAAAACAATGTGTAAATATGGCGGACTTAACACCATGCGGCGTTATCTACCAGTTAACCATGAGTGGTGCAGAGAAAGATTGTTGGCGGTGCACTAATATAAATGAGTTAAATAATTTTATGTGTTAATAGAGTCAATAAATTTCTATTGTAGGTATAATTAAATATATAATATATATAACTTCTATACGCATATTAAAAATATAACTGTCTGTATATAAATTATATATGACAAAATTATTAGGTGGGAGACTTATCCAGGTAACCTGTGTGAACCCAATCTATAATTTATACATTTTATTCTATATTTTAGCGAATTTGTACGCGCTAACCTCAAAACGGCTTAACCTATTTTATTGCGGTTTTCAGCAATATATTGTGATAAGCTTCACATAAATGTTTGTTTTATTCCAATCGGTTTAAAAAAGTAAAAGTTATAGTTACTGCGGAGTATACATTCGGGGGTTTAGTTAGTATACAATAACTTTTATTAATGATTCATAAAAAACCGGTAATATATTGCTGAATAGATGAAACGCTCTTTCACTTACGAACTCATGAAATACTTATTTTTAGATACATATTTGTAATCTCACATAAGTATAAATGAATACATTGCTATGATCTGATTTATTGATGGCATTAAATCAAATTATAAGTAGTACGGGCTTACGGTGCTATAGAATGTAGGTATATATAAAATCATAAAACATATATATTTATCAGAATATGTAGCTATTGACGCACTTCATATCAATAAAGATTTTTTTAATTTTGTACAGCATTGGATAATCGTGTGAGATTATTTTGCGTTTCTGCCATATATGAACAACTAGCTGTGCTCGCGGTTTCATCAGTGTTAAATTTCAATAATAAAAAATACAGCCTATGTGTTATTCTGATGTATAAGCTACATGTAAAGTTTCGTTAAAATCCGTTCAGTATTTGCGGGAAAGATTAACAAACATCCAACCATTCATTCTTATAAACAGTCGCGTAAAAATAAGATAATAATAAAAAATATACCTTCACGATTGCGGGTAGTTAGAGACATTGCAATTTTTAGATGTACAATTAATTTTTTAAAATTTATTTTGGATACTAATGTTAAAGTTTTCTTCTTAAAAACACATATTTGGTAATGAATCTATATCTATCCCCACCCATAATAGCGGGATGTACCTGTTACAGGCATTGCTATGCTTACTAGTTCATACCAACAGTACTATTGTAAAGTCCACTGTTTTGCACGTTATTTCAAAATTTTAGTCCGTTATGGATCATATAGATCCTTTTTTTAGTGAAAATTTAGTTTTTAATACTATAAATACTATATTTTTAATACTATAGATAATACTATTGTTTTGTAATACCACAGATAATATAATATTACATAGTAATACTAACAGACTTGTTTCAAGAAACTGCGTCAATTGTGAAACGTTTAAGTTCATTCAGTTAATTCAGTAAATCTTAATTTACAAAATTACATCGAGTAATTGCCTAAGTATTGTAGAAAATTTTCATAGTTGCACGTTTTATATGGATATTTTATATAGAGAGGTCGGCGAAATGCAGTGATTATACGACTTCCTTCAAAAATAACGGCGAGTGAAACCGTAGCGCACTTCTAGTACCAAATTACTTGCAATGAATTATGTTTAGTATCATCGTAAATCTCATATATGTACTTAGTAGATATATGTATATATATATAAATAAATCGGGACGTTGTACGTAACATTGGCATTTGGGCGGGGCACTTTTCCAACAGTGATCTTCTTGGCCGCGTTAGGCGATAGCCGTACGAAAAATCTATCGGTAAACGGTCAAGTGTGAGTTCCCGACGATGGGCACAGAAGACCCGAATAAATTGGCGTCTGTTGAGTTTGAAGTCTATGGCCAAGTTCAAGGTTGGTCCACACATTTATTTTATTTAATAAGTGGAGTGACTTGACGGGTACTGGGCACGAACTGTACCAACCAATAACCAATATGTATTAAGGTTTTGATTTCAGTTTTCTTTTCTGTGCTGGTGTATTGTGCGATGATTCGTCTATTAATTGTATGTATGCAGTAGAGGTATGTCTAGGCTAATAGAAATTACGGCGACCTTAATATATTTTGTTGACAAAGAAAAGAAAAAAATATATAAATTGTTAATACATTTTGAAATGTATTGTTAATGGTACACGTGGTGGTAAATATCAATACATGAAAGCGATGATCAGCGGATATCATCTTCATGCCATACAAGCTTATTAAATTGCCATATTTCACCCTGCAACCGGAGCTCCTTGATGGCTGAAATGGGTGACACAGATGACTTTGTACAAAGTCTATCTCTAGAGAAATTTCATGAAACTTTAAGAGGAAGGGCGCCGGTGGCAATTTCAAGACATAACTAACAACTACGTAAGGCCCAGGCCACAGGCCCTACGTAAAAATTTTTAACATTTGCTAAAACTTTGCATTCACCGCTTGCACCACAAGTTGAGAAGTAGTTTTTATGTGAAATTTGCAAGAATTAGCAAATAGAATAGAATGATGGATGTAACGCTAATCTCCGAAATGACTAGCTGGTTGCTTCTTTGAAGATTTTGGATTCAGAAATGTTAATTTACATATTATGGCCCAATATGTGAGGAAGGTTACAGACTCTATCCATATTATGCTTTAGAAGCCGAGAGAAAAAAGAGCCTATAGCGCAGACAGTCGATGTAATGTAAAGGCAAACAAATCGGGGAATCATGCCGGCCGACTTTTTTGCGGCTAAAACCGCGTGGCTATGTAGTAGGTAATAATATGAAACACGTCCCGACTAGCGAAAAAGCGGCCGTAATGCTATCTACTATAAAACATGGATGAATATAATTGAGTGGGTACTCATCCAATTTCCGTCCGCGTCGTATGTAGCTTAACCTTGAGACTGTTATTATTATCGAAGGCTATTTCTCACTATATACCCATGGTTATATGTATTATATAATACATGTACATATACATATGTAATCTATTCATAACACAGGTAGAAGAGATTGTTGGCAAGAATTTCGTAAGTTGTCAATCATTATCTCATCTCTTGTCAAATTACGACTAATAGGGCTTAGATATATTAAACAATTTCTTTTTCTTTTTTTGATAATAAAACAAGAAAAAGATGCATATGCACCTACTCACTTACATATACATACAACAACATCAACAAACGTATGAAATATTTATTTAAATAATTTTCTTAACCTAACTATTTTCATAACTTTATTTATTTATTTTGTATAAGCTGTGTTTGGGGTAACCATTCGGGGTTATATGACAGTGAATTATTTGGAACAGCCATATGAAATCTTGTTTCTCCGGAATGACAAAGTATGCAATGTACTACGGGCATATTTTTTTTTGTAGCACAGGGTACAAACTAGCTTGCGGCTCACCTGACGGAAAATGATTACAACCGCCTATGATCACCGTATCACAAGGTGTATAGCAAGTGCGTTCCGGCCTTTTAAGAAGAAATAAGCCCTTTTCTTGAAGGTTTCAATATCGTAACGGCATAATATGGCATGATCTTCGTGATGTTGTTATTTTAAGTCATGGTTACCAACAATCAACTTTTTTTGCGATCGATGTACATAAAAAAACTCAGCCGATTTCATAATCATCTTTTTCTTATTCCGTTATACTGTATACCTATAGCTCAGGCTATCATCAGTCCATCATCATAAAAAAAATAGCCTATCAATACATTTTCTTCATGCATATAATGTGGAGTCTTTGATCATCTTGCGATATATTTAGCCGATCGCAACTGGGTCGATGTCAATTGACGATTTGGACGTGATAATAAACAGAGTGCCTCGTGGCTCGTTAGTTTTCTACCCCAAATTATAGACTGAAGAGCATGAGTTCGAGTTTGGAACAAAAAACTTTACTTGTTTATTTTCCATGATATCATGTCGATAAATGCGTAGATTAGGATGACTATCTTTCCAAGCTATACAGGTGGTTTCTTAATCCGGTAGTATTTTAGTACAACAAGGAATAGCTGTATATTTAGCATAACAGAGTTAAACATTAAATAAATATATTTAATTTTACAAGTCCCCCTCTGATCTATCCTCCATCCTAATCATACGAGGATCGAAGTTCAAGTCTAAGCCGAGGTTCAAGCCCCTAGCTAGCTCTCAGACTAAAGTCGGATCCGTTAGGCAGGAGTTGGCCTTCAGCCTCTCCATAAGTAATTCTACGGGTTTGGAGTGCCATCTGTAATCGCTTACTGTACTTGAAACTGTAAAGTCCAGCTGTGGCCAACAGCAATCAGCAATCAATAGTTCGAAAAATATTTAACAAGTGCAATAAAGTATATATTCTATAATTAATTTAAAAGAGTACAATAAAAACAATATACTATTTTTTAAAATAGGCTTATCTAACAAATAATATTTTTACTTAATGATAATCTATTTATGGACATGAATACATAATAATTAATCACAATGCTATCACGGATTAATTTTGTCGGATGATTTTTAATTGTTTAATCAAGTTCATTGGTGGTACTTTTTATTATCTTGGATGGTAAAATGATCACCATTTCGTCACGTAATACTTCCTGTATATGGCTTATGATTAACGTGACCATTTATTTTTTGACTTTTACTTAAAATGGGACATTGGTTTATTATTAATTAACAAATAGTCAATAAAAACCGCTTTTTAAGTTTATTTATTCTGAAAAAGTTAGCTTAAAAGACACGAATTTAAAAATATACCAGATAAGTATAAAACATAACTAAACATTTTGTTTAGTTATATTTATATCTTTCAGAGGAACAAATTTGCTTTAATATAACTGGTGAAGACTTTAAGTAAGAATGTAATTGCACACGTTTTTTTATTTTACTTTAATTTCAAAACGGTTTTAATGGTTTCAATTTATTTTCAAAACCAACTTCAAAACGGTCCGGTTTGAGGAATGGTGAGAAAGAAGAAGAATTTACGAATGTTAATATATTTTTCATGTACCAATGTTAATTATATTTCAGTACAAAAACGAACAACATTTTCTATTCAAAACTATAATTATATCTACGTGATACGTTTAGATTTCATTTTTATTTATCTTGAAAACGATAATTCGTTATAATGTATTCGGCAGAAAAAAAATGTCAAACTGCGAAATAGCCAGATAATAAATGTAATGGCAACTTGATTAACAAAATAAATCAGTAATAGTTATCAGAGCAGCCCAGTCCATACAAACAGCACCCGTTGATGAGTATAACTAAGAAATTGGCAAATCTATAAGTAGCACCCGTTTACCATAACGACGAATGGTAATCGAAAATAATTCACTCCATGACAGCGGATGCTTCACAACGCTATAATTTATCACTTCTTGCATAGCTTCTGTAAATTATCTAATCCTAGGACATTTATAGAGCATATAGTTTATTGTTTAATCTTAACATATATCCTTCCTTTCCTCAGGCTGCTACTTCACGAAGTACTGTAAGGAGCTAGCTGAGCAGCTGAACGTAGGTGGATGGGTGAAGAACACTAAGAAAGGCACTATTGTGGGCAAGATACAGGGCACAAAAGCAGCAATCGATCATATGTTAGTATTTACGATTACTATAATTGCGACGTAGCTAGTTCTGTGACACATGATGACCGGCAGTCAAGCACTGACGTCATTGCCCTGTTTTTGAAGGAATTGTCGAGTTACCTTTTAATAAATTTTAAAAACTCTGTAAAAACACACTGGGTAGTATGTTACTCACTAAACGATTTTTAAATGACAAACGAATGGTCCTAGTGGTTTAATAAGGATTTTGAAATATTTAAACATCTAGCTTATCTTTATTGTTACCTATTTGGTAAACTTTACATAAAACTAGAATTTATTTAGTTCTAGCTGCGCCCACGACTTCGTCCGCGTAAAATGACGATACTTCCATAGAACCTTCACATTAAAAAGTAGCCTATGTCCTTTGTCAGTGTCTAGACTATCTGTGTACCAAAATCGGTTCAGTGGTTTAGGCGTGAAAGCGAGACAGACAGACAGACAGAGTTACTTTCGCATTTATAATATCAGTAAGGATTATTTATTAGTCGGAGTAGGACAAACCTAGCTATTGTAAAAATGTGTATTATAAAATAGAAGAGTTTGTAAATGATAATATTTTATTTGTAGACAAAACTTAAAATTCATAGCGCTGATGATAATTTCTAATTGCACTAGGAATGAATGCGTAGCGGTTTCTATGTTTATTATTGCATGCCTCTTACTTGTTGTTGTGTAATTATTTATTAAAAATAACATTTATTCAAAAGAGCAATACACAAGTCTTTTGCTCATACTTCTTGTGTTGAGACTGCGTTCCGAATGACTGGTAGAATAAAAATAATGTGACTATTCAAAAGTGCTTGTACAGAGTTTATTTGGATAAAGATTATTTCTATTCGACTTCTATAAAGGTACCGCCACAAAGTTTTATTTAACAACACAATACACGTGCGTTCAAGTACTTACTTTCGCCTAATTATACTCGTACTGATAATAATAATATCTAATCTTTATTAGCAAATACAAGAGATATACTATCATACCTTTTGCCCAGGCTTTCATACTACCGAAACCTTTGAGTTACACATCATTAGACTATGGTAGACTTTGTTCAAATTATCTCTATAGGTAGGTATCTCTCATATAATCGCATCTATAATCGACGGCCTCGGTGGTCCAGCGGTCTAGCACGCCGCTTTACTTCCCATGGTCACGGGTTCGATTCCTCGCACGTTGCAAACTTTTGTATTTGATTATTTGAATCAGTCTAGGTATTTTTTGTGTATATTATGTATGTATTTACAAAAATATGTACAATATATAAGTATTTGTATCAGTCGTTTAGTACACTAGCTTTGTTTCATTTATATCACTTGTCTAGTACCCATAACACAAGCTCTGCTTACCGCGGGACTAGATGGCGCTGTGTGAATTGTTCAGGCTAAAAAAAAAGTTGCCGCCCAGCTTGCTTTACAGACTGTTTCTATTTTGATGGGTGAGATACGCCTGTAGAATTGCAATGTTCGGTGACATGACACTTTATCTTTATTTACGTGATTAGTATATATATAGACCAGTACTGGTATAAAAAAGAATCGTTTGTCGTTGTCCCGTTAAAAAGTTGGGAACGCTGTCTTCCGATACAAATATCTAAGCGGGCATTTCACACATAATAATTACCGTTTATTTATATAATAGACTAGCTGCTCCCGCGACTTCGTAGGCGTAGAATATAACTTAATTTTTCTAAATAAAAGATTATTTCAAAAATAAGAGTAACCTAAGTTACTCCTTAATACATCAGCTACCTGCCAATAAAAGTCCCGTCAAAATCAGTCCAGCCAGTTCAGAGATTAGCCGGAACAAACAAACAGACAGACAGACAAAATAAAAAAAATATATTTTGGAGTATATACCGTATTTATATTCATGCATGAATTAAAAAACAGTTATTTCAATATTACAAACAGACACTCCAATGTTATTTATATGTATAGATATTATATGTATATATATACAGAAAAATATAAATAAAAACATAATAATATATAAATAGAAAAATATATGAGAATCCGAAATGCCTTTACAATATTACCTACTCAAAAAGTGTCATACAAAGTAAAAACAAGGCGTATGGGTGAATACACTTAATACAGAAACCTAATGACGATCTTTATCTGTAATATTAATTAATTGCGTGAATCTAATAAAAGGCAAATAAAGGAACTTTTTACAAATTCAATGATAGGCATTAATGCAGAATAAACTTCTTATGTAACTAAAATGGTAGGAGCGAAGAGGTTGGTTGTAATTGGTTTAATAAACTCATTGCTAATGTACCATGTAATTGACCACCGAGCAAATTCCCCCTAGATACCATCATAATAAATTATTTGCCACGATTGGCTAACTGAACAACTTTTATTTGAAAGAACAACAAACAAGATTCTTGCTCGTTCTTCTTGTGATGATACTGTTTTCCAAAAGAGCGGTAGACCCAAAGAAATATTATATGATTGCTATAATGGAATCAAGTTTAGCTTTATACGGATTTTTTAATTATTATGAAAGATTACTAACTAGGTACAAGGTTTTACCCGCGTAAAAATTATAGCCTATGTCTTATTCTGATGTTTAAACTATATTACCGTAACGTTTCATCAAAATCCGTTCTGTAGATTTTGCGTGAAAGTTGAGAGTACACTTTCACGCAAAATCTATGGAACGGATCTTTTTGTAATATTAGTAAGACTCAAAAGCGCTAATATTAAGTTTATTTGAATAAATATACTCAACCAAATTATAGAAGAATACGATACTCAATTTGTAAAAGGCAATTTTTTTAAGGAAAACCCGTTGTAAATAGATAAGTAATACTTATTACAGTGAAATGAAATCAATTCACTATATTAAGTACCACAATCGTGGCATATGTCAATTAAAGTTTTATCTTAAATCTAAATCTGTTTGGTCCTATATTTTCGTGTTATGACGGAACACCAGTTAGGATTTGGCTGTGACATTCCAAATGATGGATAGTTCAATTGTTTCCATAGAAAAATGGGATTAATGAATATATCATATTAGTCGCATTTCTAGCGATTTATTGAATAAATGGCAGATTATGTTTTATCAACATAAAATCCGCGTCGCATGTACTTCAGGTATTAACTAGTCATTAACTGTAACAAGTAATCCATTGACTAGTGATATTCTAAGGTGATTGCTGAGAATTATTAAATATTAAAAAAATTACATAATATTTTTCATACGTGATTTCTTTCGCCATCTTTTACTATAGCACCGCTTGTCATCGACAGGGAATTCTTCCCTACAGCCTAGAGCTTTCGAAACGATCCAGTATAAATAGTTAAAATTATATTTTTTTCTAACTATTGTGTTAAAAAGTATTAAATACGATATTTCTGTTTCTTTAATTGTACCGAAACCACAACATTTATGAAATGGTACTTATTAATAATAATAATATTAAGTATATGTATAATATTCAAATAAAGAAATATACAAAATTATTCAAATTCGAACATCTAAACCTTGTGGGATTTCTATGTAGTTTTATGAAATTATTTTCATTATTACACTGTTGGTGAAATTTCGTTTTCGGCTTATACACAAGGTTAGGAGATACCTACTAACCTTGTGAATCTATAAATATATATATACAAAATTTAGGCGGCATAATATTCTAGGATTTCTGTATAAATTAGATACATTATACAAAAATAATACATCTACTGCAACCTCAACCATGACAATAACGAACTGTTTCTATTATTTTCTCTCACTGTAATGTCACAAGTTATTTACTAATAGCAAATCTCCTTCCGCGTTTAACTTAATTGAACATACGTGCTATAAATGTCAGGCGTAAAAATTGTATTAAGATCACTTCATGGGATTTGGTTTTTTTATGGATGATAATGGAACGTTGCATGCCTGCGTTAACGGTATACGCTGGGCACCAGTGGAGGACGATAAGACGAACACAAGGTCAGGTCAGTTAGCCCATAGTGGCATTTTTACAAGGAATTTATCACGATGGTTTCCAGGGGGAACCTGGATGTCAAAGGTAATTGATTGATGACACTTTACGATCAAGTTCATATTTCAAGGTTAATTAACTTGACAGATAATGTAAACTTTGCACATTATCTGTCAAGTTAATTAACCTTTTACCATCAGATTGCTTATTTGCCACTATAGTAGCAGAAAATAAAAATTCTATATAAAGTAAATAAATTTTTCAATTTAATACGTGACTGCAGAAACAACTGTTGTGAACTTAGCGTTTCATTGTAGAATACGTTGTAAAACTAAATAATATTTTATAAATAGATTATATATTATATTATATATATAATACATAATTTATTTATAAAACAAAGAGGATACCTATATGTATGATACCTGATGGTAAGTGATTACCGCCGCCTATAAACACCAGCAACACTAGGGGAATTGCAAAGCGTTGCCGGCCTTGTAAGAAGGAATAAGCTCTTTTCATGAAGGTTCGGAAATACTATTTTCTGGAAAGCGATTCCACAATGTGGTTCTGCCCGGTAAAAAGATTCTGAAAAAACGATAATTTAACTAATATTTTACTTTTTATTGTTTCAAGTACAAACTTTTTTTTATAAACGTCTATATTATTAAAATATCTTTTTCTCCATCAGAGATTATAAAGAAATAGTTTGGTAGGGATATAGTTACATCAACATGAAAATATTTATTTAAAAAAGAATGCATAATATGTAATAAATAAAAAATATATATGCCAAACAAAGGTTTTATCTTTGTATATATTTTTTATATCTTAACATTATATATAACATATCCCATGATAATATTTATAGTCGTGCAGGCCTTGTAGTCGCAATATGGTTGAAGTTTGTGAGTAGTTTAAGAACATTTGACCTATGTCGCATATAGTGGCAGGAAATCGCCGATTCGACAGTAAATTGATAGCGTCGCGTAGAAATTTGGCTTATGGAGTACGTCTCATACGTAGACGCAGTTAGACCCTGATTTATTTTGTATAGGTTTCCATTAGTTTCTCCTTCGAAGAAATAGAAATATTCTTTATTCAAATAAACTCAATGCAAGTACTTCTGAATAGTCATATTTTTTTATTACACCACTCATTCGGAACGGTTACTCATCACAAGAAGAATGAGCAAGAAACTTGTTTTTGAATAAATGTTGCTTGAAATAAATAATTATACAATAATAAATAAGAGGCATGCGATAATCGACATAGAAACCGCTATGCACTCATTCCTAGTGCAATAAGATAATATTGTCAGCGTTGTCAATTTAAGTATATTCTACAAAAACATTATCATATACAAACTCTTCAATTTTATGGTAAGCACTTTTACAGAGAAAGTGTTTTATATGACATTTGAATCTTTTTTCAGGCTGATTTAGAACAGATGCGGTAGTTTGTAGTAAAACCTTACGCAATTACTTTAAAATGAATTAATAACTTTAGTTTAATGGCATTTAGTAAACCCTGTTTATTATTGTTACGTAAGCTTTTATGAGTGTTATCACTAACTCTTTTTTAATTGTCTATATTTTTCCTAGCATAAATGATATTTTCGTAAATGTATTAAAAAGCAACAGTAAGGATATTTGATTCCTTAAAGCACTCGAGAAAATTTAACTTTTTACAAACAAATCAACTTTATACGCATTATGTATATATTGCCTACATATTAGATTATCTTTTATACTTTGATTTTGCTATATAGATACACTCGTGAGTGTCCACTAGGTTATTAGTATTAAGTCCAATCATTTCATGAAGTACTTAATTGAACAGGAAAAAATAATGTAATCCCTAAAGATTTATATTTTTCCTTTAATACTCGCGTATATCTAAAAGAGGTGACAAATGTTTAATATACATAGGTACTGAATGGAGATAACAATATTAAAGTACGCGCCTATGTTTGTACCAATCGGCATGAGGAAATACTGCAAATTCATCGTGTTCGATAATAATAGATATGTGAACTGTAATTAATTAAGATTATTTCTATTTTAATAATATTTATGTTGTATACTTAAGTTTCGGTTTATTTAGTTTTACCAATTGAAAAATTAATATAAATAAATAACCTGGACAATTAACACAGCGCCATCCAGTCACACGGTAAGGAAAACTTGTATAATGGGTACTAGACAACTGATATAAATATTTAGATATTTTTATAAACAAAACTAGTGTACTAAACGACTGATACAAATACATATATAATGTACATATTTTTGTAAATACATACATAATATAAACAAAAAATACCTAGACTGATTCAAATAATCAAAGACAAAAGTTGGGTATGGGTACTAGGCAGCAGATATATGCTTATACTTAGATATATTTATTTTTTTGTAAATACATACATAATATATATAGAATACACCCAGACCGATACAAACAATCATACTTATGAATGTAAATGTTTGCATCGTACGAGGAAACAAACCATTGGAATTAAGGCGTTATGTTAACCCGCTAGACCACCGAGGCCGTCAAATATCCTTCTGAAATTTTATTAGAGGAATGATTATGATAAATATTCATTACTAATATTTATTTATTTAATGTTAACATTAATTTCAATTTGCATACTCAAAATGTAGCTGAATACATTACCGCTAAAAAGAATCCATTTATCGTATCTCCTCAGTTTCAAGACACTCTCCTTGATGTGAAGCCAAAACTCGAGGTCCTTGGCGTTAATATATACAGTGCCGTTCAGTTTTGCGGTCATTTGGAGGACAAGGCTAAAGCTTGGTGTGCTCAGTAGAGTGAGACGGTATTTCACGGCGGCCCATCACTTCAATTATACAAGGCGCAGATCCAGCCGCACATGGAATACTGTTCGTATCTCGGGGCGGGAGCACTACAATACCAGCTACTTCCATTTGACCGCATTCAGATCCGAGCAGCCAGAATCATTGGTAATCAACGTCTATGTGACAGACTCGACCCATTAGCTTTGCGGCGAGATATTGCATCTCTGTGCATTTTCTACCGCATATATCACGGGGAGTGTTCTGAGGAATTGTTCGGATTAATACCAGCTGCTGAGTTTCACCACCGTACCACCCGCCAGAAACTGAAATACCATCCTGATCATCTGGATGTCTGGTCTTCCACAGTGCGGTTTTCTAGAAACTTCTTGCCTCGCACAACCACATTGTGGACCTTCCAGCAATGGTATTTCCGAACCGATACGATATTGAAACCTTCAAGAAAAGAGCTTATTCCTTTTTAAAAGGCCGACAACGTACTTGCAATTCCCCTGGTGTTGCGGGTGCTCATGGGCGGCGGTAATCACTTACCATCAGGTGAGCAGAATGCTCGTTTGTTCCCTGTTTTATAAAAAAATATGAAACTATGTATTTATTTATTTTTAAGGACAACGTAGCGGAGGAAGTAGAATACATTTCAATAGTGGGACGTATATAAGTTAATTTATTAGTGGTAGCTACATCAACGAGGATTACCACCTATTTTAAAAGAGAAAATGATATTGTTTGTTTCATTATTTTTTTATTGTTTTGCGTAATTCGAATGGTAATAAGCTGACGATCTATCGGATGGTAAGTGATAATAGTCTAATAATACCCGAGATACCACTATGTGGCACTAATTCACATTCTATAGCACACTAAAGAAATGTCATTCCTCTTATCCTGATTGGACTCCCTAATCGCACCCTACAATTGAAACACTATGTCTGAAATAGGTAAGCCTGAGGCACTCACGCAGGTGACATTTTGCAGGCTACGTCTTTGCATTTATGATTTTAATATGGATTCAAAATATCAAATACCAAAGATATTCGTAGGTATAGATACTCTAAAACAAAGACCACTGCCGCGTCTGTCTGTACATTAGCGATAATCTCCTAAAGTTCTGAACGAATTTTCATGAGGTTTTCATCTAATAATAGAGAATGCGATGTTTACTACCCGCATAAGGCGCTATTTCTATATATACCTACATATAAATTTTAGCATGTAAGATCTAGTGGGGGGACCTGGTGACCTGTGATACAGGTTGTTCGGATGCCTAGTACAGGCACCAGCTCTCCACAAATCTGTATTTTTGCATAGAATTTTACATGCCTCAAAGGCTCTGCAGCACTCTATATTTACTGCCCACCTTCATGAAAGAGGACTACTGGCCGAAAGGTGTGGTGTATCGGCGCTACCGTGGCAGATTGCCGTCTTCAGTGCAGTGATCACACAGACAATATAGTTGTATTGGTTTTTAAATATTATATTATATGTATGTTAGTCTATAAGGTATTTATAATATGGGCCTAGTTGCCTGAAATAAATGAATATGTTATTATTATTATTATTTATTATATAAGTACTATATAGAAACAGCTAGTTTATAGTATAATGTTCGCTAATAACCTCAAGATGGTAAATTGTTCCAGGGTCAACTGGCTTAACACCACGGGCTCTCCGGGTTGCAAGATAGAAAAATGTGATCTTACCAACTGGGAACACCTCGTTCGACCTGACTACAGGGATTTTAGCATACGTTTTTAATATGTACTTATACATAAGCTAAGTGAATGGTATATTACGTGGTTTTATACAAATGTAGATTTCTAATTGTATCCGCGGTTCTAACTCCATATAATTATGTATTATTCTGACGTATAAGCTATATTCTTGTAGAGTTTTATTAATTTATTATATATTATTTTAATTCATTCAGTAGTTTTTGCCTGAAAAAGAAAAAAACATCCATCCATACTCACTAACAAACTTCCACATTTGTAATATTAGTAAGACTAGCGGCGTGCCCCAGCTTCATACGAGTAAGTATTTATAAAAAAAAATATAAGTTTAAAAACAAACACACACACACACATATATATGCACTCTTCGATATCAACAAAGTTGTTCTTGTAATAATTTATGAGACCACAAATAGTTGAGTTACTTTATAGGTAAGATTAATTTATTGTACGCATACCTGTTACAATTTTTCTCCAGAACAGTAGAGGGCGGAATAAATGGTCTATTTTTTTAAACATTATTAAGTTATGACAAGTCTGAAAAAAGCTGATATGATTCCGTGCATAGCTGAATCTGAAAATGTATATTCAGGAGATATGTTAATTCTGGTACACATTATATAGGCAGTTATTAAAAGTCTATAGTTTATTAAAGACACTAACTAATTTGTGAAGTATTTTTCTTAAGTTATAGTTGTACGATGTACCTAAAGTACGTACTAGTAAGTATTCTTGAAATTGAACTGGTTTCACCAAGAAAAGAAATAGAAATTGTAATTTTCATTACATAATTAATTTTGTTTGTATGAACAGCTTAATAAATATCTTCAATTATCCACTTTTTTATAAGCTATTCAGTTTCATGAATGCTATTGCGACTAACATATATACGCTTTTCTGAATCATAATATTTTTATAAAGTACGTTATTGATTATAAAATTAAAAACTTAATATGTCTTTTTATTTATTTCAATGATGAACTCCTGCACCATGTTGGGTTGATCTCCATATGGTTCCTCCTGGAAAGCATTGTGTTAAATTCCTTGTGAATTTACCATGATGGGCTAACTGCCCTGACCTCATGTTCATCTTATCATCCTCCACTGGTGCCCCGCCAGCATAAACCGTTGCATACGGGTGGATCATATTACACTCCTTAATTAAAACTAAACTCCATATTACACTAAAAATATTTAACTTTCATGAAATGAAAATATGTAACTAACAGCCATTCTACCTTTTTTCTCGAAATAAGTTCCAATTGATCCACATTGGAATATGACGATGTTAGAATTTCGCGGCCATTAAATTAAATAAACGGTATTATAATTAGTTAATTAGGTTTCCTCTCGATTGTATTTCAGTAGCAGAACGAAAATAATAGGAATTGTAATTAAAATTGATATTTAGATGCAAGAGGTGAATTAGTTTGTATCAGTTTATGTGTTTTCGATGTCTGTCTGTATTTCCAAAAAAATATATCTAAGTATTTACATCTGTTGTCTTGTACCTAAAACACAAGCTCTACTTACCATGGGGTTTGATGGCGCTGTGTTAATTGTCGAGTGTTATTTATTACTTATTTATTTATACTTATCAAGTTTATTTCTTAAATTTAGGTATAGGTATATGTACTACGGCTAGATTCAAATACAATACGTACAGACGGATATGATAATATTATTTGTACGAAAGTGTATAGACAATCACAAATGACATAATTCGTAATAATGGAAAATTTTATAATTTTAATTATACGATATCTTTAGGTACAAATAGATATCTGAACATCGCCATTGTCGATTCTAACATTAATTCTGTAGTTACTAATAACACTAATAACAAACAAAAGGAGGAATTAAATTTATATCATATGTCATTCGAAAGCTACTGTCATTATCTCTACGTGTGGGAAATCAACATCATGTTTGTTTGTATTTTTATACTAGCTTTACCACGCAGATATACCTACGTAAATTAATAATAAAAACTTAGTTTCACACAACGCTATCTAGTCCCAAGCTAAGCAGAGCTTGTGTTATGGGTACTAGACAACTAATATAAATACATAGATATAGTTTTTATATACATCTTAATATTAATAATTACATAGTATAAAATAAAGTCGGTATCGCTGTCTGTCCGTCCCTATGTATGCGTAAATCTTTCAAACTACGCAACGGATTTTAAAGCGGTTTTTTAATAGACAGACTGATTCTAGGGGTACATGTACACCCAGGCGAAGCCGGGGCGAGTAGCTAGTATAATAAACGCGAAAGTGTGTGAATATGGATGGATTATTTGTTACTCTTTCACACAAAAACTGCTGAATGCATTTTTATGAAACTTTACAAATATTTGTATTGTTTTCTATGTATAATTTGTATGTATTTATGAAGTAAAATTGTATCTATGTACGTCTATCAGTTATCTACTACCCATAACACAAGCTTTAGCTAGCTTAACTTACATACTAGATGGCGCGTGTGAATTGTCCTGTCATGAGATTATTAAATGTGCTAAATATAATACATTCAGCTCCACTTAAAGTAAGACACTGTCGTAATTTAACGCTTCAACTGCTGAGACGAATTCATAGAAATGGTAAGGGCCATCATATATTATTTATATTACGTGCCACGTTAAGGAGGGGTCTACAAAGTGTGACAAAGTGTGACGTGATGTGACAAAAAGTTGGAACGGGTCCTGAACTTTGTGACTTTATATTTCAAAATCGGATATTTATTTTATTTATAGTGTAATTGCAATTGTGATGGATTGGATAATTCGATGATGTTGTGATATATGATATATGATAATAGGTTCTGGGACAGCAGGTACATAGGACGAATGGATTTATATATAGAAATAAAATATTTTAGGAAATTCCGAAAGAAAAATATAATGTCACTTTTTTGCAATAATAATTTTATAATACATTACTTTTTAAATATAAAAATTAAACTAAAAAGAGGTTTCATAACATACACCCCACCTTGCGTGTGCGCAATGCTAAAGAACAACAATAAAATAAAAATAAATCACAGGTTTAGACGTCGAGGCAGTTTCACAGGACGACCAGAACGTGTTGTCTTTGTTAAAAGATTGTCGGGCTCAAGAGCGGGATCTGCGACTTTATCATTTGACCCTGATGACTGTGGAAACTGAATACTCTCTAACATCGATAACTCTAAAGGAAATAAACGTTGCAGTGCACGAACACGTTCACCCTTTGCTGTTTTAACACGTGCTACCCTACCGACATTATCAACACCTAAACATATCTCTAAAATGAGACCTAAAGGCCAGTTAACGCGCTTCAAATCATCTGAACCTATAAGCACGATATCCCCAGGTTGAAGATTGTTCTCGTTTTTAGTGTTCTTTTGTACTAGTAAAGATAAATATTCTGACCGAAATCTTTGTTGTAGATCTGTATTAATTTTTTCGATATAACTATAACGAGTAGTAAGGTTAGGTGATTTAACTTGGTTTAAATCAAACGTAGAAGTATTGCCTACCTTAAGAAACATAGCTGGAGTGAGAGCATTAAAATTTTCAGTACTATCTACTATATAAGTCAGAGGACGTGAATTAATGACAGCTTCTGTTTCGCAAAGTACAGTAAACAATTCTTTTTCTAACAGAGCAGCTTTGCCTAAAACTCTCCTCAAAATTTCTTTTATAGTACGAACCATACGCTCCCACCATCCACCCCACCATGGCGCTTGAGGTGGAATAAAGTGCCATGATATTTTTTGGATTGATATTTTGGAAGAAACGTCATCCCAATTAACCGTCGATAAGATATTGTTCGTCCCTCGAAAATTAGTACCATTGTCACTATATATGATTCTGGGTTATAAATATGTCTTCTGGCAGCATACATAATGTGATGGATTGGATAATTCGATGATATTGCTATTGTATATTATGGTTATTCATAATTTATTTATATAATTGTAAATACGAATGTAAAACGGCCAGTCTATTGAAGAATAGTTTTTATGTTGATAACTGCGTTGCTAGTGTGAATAATGAAGTCGAAATGGAGAAATTTATCAACGAAGCTTTAAATATTATGAATGAAGGTAAGTTTGAGTTACGTTGCTGGGTGACTGGTCTTACTCTAGATATAAATCAAACAGACACTTCTGTGTTAGGAGTAACTTGGAATTCACAAACAGACGAATTGTATTGTAAAGTTCCATTTTTAAAACAAATTGATAAAAAAACTTACTAAACGAGTACTATTATCGATAGCTCAGAGCATTTTTGATCCAATCGGGTTTCTTTGTTTTACTACACTGATACCAAAATTGTTAATACAAAAGTGTTGGGAAAGGACAATGGACTGGGATAAGGAACTTACTTTCGAATTAGAAAAGTCTGCAAAAGAATAGCTCCAACAAGTATCATCAATTGAGAAATGTTCCACGAAGATTGAGCAAGTGTAACCTGTCTGATTGTAACAATACCATTCATACCTTCAGTGACGCAAGTCTATATGCTTATTCTGGTTGTGTCTTCTTGAGGTCAGAATATGCTGGTGTAGTAACAGTGCAACTTGTGCTTGCTAAAGCGAGGGTTACACCAGTAAAGCCCATCACTATGCCAAGACTGGAACTTATTGCAGCCTTATTAGCTACTCGATTATGTACAGAAGCAAAATATGCATTGCAATTAAACTGTAAGAGTACTATTGGACTGATTCCAGCATTGTGTTAGCATGGATTAGACGGGGAATTGGTCTTAATGTTTTTGTGCACAATAGAGTTAAAGAGATTATAGATAGGAGTCACGTAGATGATTGGCATCATGTGCCTGGTGAACTTAATCCAGCTGATCTTCCGTCAAGGGGTTGTAATGCTGAAAATCTTTTTAAAAGTCGTTGGTGGGAAGGTCCAGATTGGCTTAAGAAATCCCAAGAACTTTGGCCTTATTGTGAAGTACCTCCTGATGAAAGTGAAGTTAATAAAGAAATAAAGAAAACATGTTTAACTGTCCAGGAAGTTTATAGATTTACTGACAGATTTCTTTATTTTGGAAAATACTCAAAAATTGTTAGAACTGTAGCATGGTGTTTAAGATTTAATAAATACGATTGTAATAGACAGAATAAGAAGGATATTACTGCAGAAGAGTATGAAAAAGCAGAAAATCGGTTATTATATTTAATACAAAATGGAGATATCGATGAAGTGAAAACAAGACTTAGGTTGGATATATTTAAAGACAGTAAGAATATTATTCGTGTAAAAACAAGATTAACACTAAGTGGTGATACAGAAAACTTCGTAACTCCGATGTTATTGCTCAATACATTACTTTTTAAATATAAAAATTAAACTAAAAAGAGGTTTCATAACAGCAATATTACACCATAGCTGAAAAATCCAAATCGGTATTACAACTTAGTATAGTATATGTGATGCTATAAACTTAAAAAGATATTTATTTATGTAATTCGGATATTCATCCATATTATGTTAGTAAACTATTATAAACTATGATAGTTAAATGTTAACATAAGTCGCTCATTTCATATATTTATGCCCATTGCAATGGTGTCCAGTGCATCTAGAATGTACAATCCGACATATTTGTTACGGTGGGTAGGATGCTGTTTTCTATATTATAGAAAGGTTATACAAGAACCCGATCGGATATTCATGGAATGTTAAGAAGGTCGTTTCTAGGTCTCTATGGAAATGGAACACAGATAAAGAGATATTTCGTAGAGATTTACTACAATACACTTTGTATACTTATGTAATGATTTTATGTCCAATTTAACACATTGTTTGTATTTCCGTTTATATGATATAATATTATATTATTTATTAAATTTAATAAACATTATTCTATTCTATACTATTCTATTTATGAAAAAAAACGCTACAATGCCTAATTTAGAATCAAAAGTCTACTTTTGAATATATGCAATAATATATGTGCGTTTTAGGCAGTTTTGTTAGGCCAAAAATGAGTTTGAGGATATTGCTATAGACTGCCTCAATAATCATGATATGTGCTATTCTTTTTATTAATTTTAAGTATCTATACATAAAATTGAAAAGTAGTCGGTACTTTCATGAAAAAAAATATTGAAACATTTTTTGTCTATACGTCTGTCTGTTGTTTGTTCTGATCTTTAAAACGGCGAGACCGGTCCCACGAAGTATGGGGTCCTAGATAATTTACACGAAATTTGTAACTTCACTAGCTACAAGAATGTCACACATTATTGTTGATTGTCTTTAATGTAGATATTGAATCGAGGAATGACGTGTTAATTTAATCTAGTAATGGCGATGCCTAATACCGGATTTAGGAGTTGCATACAAATATAAAGCATCTAGCCGACAACATAGTTATATGTGTATTATTTAACTTCACGATAACGTACGCGTAATTCACATGATAATATTATCTCCACATTGTCTCAATGAAGTTACAAACTTTCCTCTTATCACTGGGTAGGCCATTTCCAACCGTAATGCATTGTTATAAGGATGTAAACTTAGGAAAAATAATTAGTGTAATATATTATCCAGTGCAAGGAACTCTGGTTTTATTCCAGATCACTGTAAATAGATTCTATTATTGGTGCCGTCTTCGTAATTGTTTTGTTTAATACATCGTTTTTATATGTATATGAAGTTGTCTGCAGTTAATTCACATTATTTAATTGTTACGTATTTATATCGTAAATATTTCAGTACTACGCCATGAGCTCACGGGTCAAACATTTAGCTAGAATCATCACACAACTCTTTGCTTCCTTGTTTTTGGGCTCTAATGAAAAAGGAATTAAAATTTCAAATTGTTTTAAATATCTTTTTTTTTCGGACTACTCTAATGCTGTTTGCTTACAGGCTTACAGGCCAGGCTGGAGTGCAGATGGTACTCCAAACCCGCTTTTAATTTCCTATTTGTATTTTTACACTTGTTTATAGTTTTCTTTATTTTTTTCTTAACTGTTTGACTTTCTTGTTACCGGGTTCGGTCGTCTAGGACATCCTGTATACATTCGACACTTGGAAACTGCTCCTTTTGGAGTAATAATAATTTTGTACATATATTTCATGGAAATAAAGTATACGATAGGAATTGCCAAAATTAATGTACTTTGAACTTCAGCGTGAAAAACTTGTTACAATAGTTAATAAAATATGTTACTTTAGGCTTATAATCTCAAATGTAATTAATTTTAAAGTAAACAAGAATTATAATATTTACAAAATGAGCAGGTTACGACTTTGCGTAGACAAATTAAACAATTCAGATAAATATTATTCATTATTTGCCCGGAGACTACCAATAGTGCATTAGCATTTTTTAATTACACGAGATAAAGCTATGAAATATATTTAATATATGTACCTACAGATTAAGTGTGATAAGTGTTAAATAATCTGGGATTATGTGGCACTTATCATTATTAATATAATCTATTTCGGTTATCTGACACTTGATGGGACCAAGTGTCTGGTCAAAATTAACCAGAACCAATACAAAGAACGTACAACGGTCCTAGGTAGAACTGAAGTGCCCAGAATTTGGTCAATTCATACTATATAAATCCAGAAAACATAACATTTCTAGCTTTCAGATAGAATAGCGGTGGACCGTTTTGGAATTAGGAAATTTGTATCTCTTGCTGTGACCTCATGCTAAAGTCGATTTCGTCAGGTCCACGGGTTTAGAATTCCTACTAAACATGTCATTTTCGTCCGGTGACGTTGTAAAGGTCATATGTAAAGGTGGCCCCTTTACAAATGATCTTTACAACTGCAGTAGTTAAAGTAAATAAATAAAAAATAACTTATACTGTATAGATAGTAGAAAAGGTAAATACCTTTTGTACGTATTTTTTCTGTGTCTTTTTTTCTCATGTAGTTTCCTGGAGCTAGATAGACGAATCCATCTATCTAAGTATATTTTGAGGAAATGGATATGTCTCTTAAATCCTACAAGGCTTGTATTAAGATGCTTCTGACGCTATTTCACCTTAAAATTGTTAGAAAAGTAATGAGTGAATAAAAAACAATCGGATATGTTGTATTATAGATCAATTTATTATGTACTTCCGTGACGAGATAGTATTACTATACAATAATGTAGGCACTTACATATAATATATTTACATTAACTTAATTATTGTAATTTAATACATTTATGGAAGTTTGACTTAGAACGAATACTTATAGCTAGTTTTATACAACATTGGTTTTGACAAATCGACATGTCTGTTTATTGGGTTACTGTCTTTCAATTGCTAAAAAATCGAACCAATTCTAAGCGTATCACTATCTTACGTCTAATTATGTTTTCAATAACGTTTCCTTTGTGGGTTAGTGCGGTGGCATACGATGGATTAGCCGTCAGGTTGTTCTAAGAGTATTTTACATTCAATAAGAGTGGGTAACGTCGAATGGCATCGATGCCGTCCGATTGGCGCATTGGTTGCTACGCCCCGCCATCTTTCTTAATGAGCCAATCGAATGGCGTCGTCGGCATGGGCGATCGGACTAAACCTGATAATGTGAGCTCAGATTAATACGACTAATGTTCGTACTGATTTCGATTATTGATTAGCGCATTTGATAGCTAAGCCCCGCCCTTTTCGTTTTGAATATTAAGGCGCCTTTCACCTATATGCGGTGCTCGTATTAGAGCAATCTGACCACAAATCGAATGTATACTGCCGTTCTTAGGCGGAGGACACATAAACCTGCTTACGAGAGCACCGAGCAACCCATTTCTGATAATATTTCAGTATTTCATATTTCTAACAATAGACTGTAAAAACATTAAAAAAGCAGAGAGACATTATGAACTGAGACTAAACTTCTATAGTTCTTTAAATATTACGTTATAATTAAGAATGAAAGTAAAAAAGTAATAAAAGTTTATCTCACATGTAGAAACTGCTTAATGTTTTCAATAATTGCATTGATTGAGGATTCACAATCTGGGTTATTACTTCTTAATGAAACTTAATTAGACTGATTATTTTAATAATAAAATATACAATCATCTTACACTCAGCTCTGAATGTACACCGTTATATATAGGTAAATAAATAATAACCCTGGACAATTAACACAACGCCGTCTAGTCTCATCTAAGCAGAGCTTATCTTATGGGTATTTAGTACCCAATACATTAGATACTTAGGTTTTTTGCAAAAACATACATAATATACAAAGTAAACACTCAGACTAATACAAGCAATTATTCTTACTTATCAATAAATGTTTGTACCGTCCAAGGAATCGAACCCGCAACTATTTGAAGTAATGCTATGTGCTAAAGTGCTAGACCATTGAGGTTGGTAATGAAAAATTATTTGTTATATATACAGTATACTGATATTATGATAACCTAATACATTTATGACATGGAATGTAATAAAAAATGCGCAACGCCAAATCGCGTGATCAGCTCATACAATTCCATTCATACAACCTAACCCCTGATGTCAATACTAAGTGCAAGAAGTTACAAATATAATAATAAAATAACAAAATTTAATGTACTACAGTCAGTTTGTGTGGCAGAAAGAAAGACAAACCATATCATACTACCAAATATATCACTGGTAAACTACAGTAATACTAAACAACATATAGTACTAGAAATGTCTATCGCGTATCACTAGCAAATTATTCGAGGCTAAACTTTCTCTTCAGGAAGTTGTAACGGTAGGTTTGCATCCTCGGGTAACTTTGCTGAGGCTGCGGCGGCGGCAGCAAGGGCCCTTCTGTGTCGTTTTTTCGTCCGCTCTTTGTGGAAATAGAGACGAAGGTAATGGCATGGGAAGACAACACATTCACCCGCCGGCTCCTCCGCATCAATGTACACCCCTCTGACAAGTATAGAGTTGGAACAGTTGAGAAGAATCAGCAGAGTGAGACTGATTATGTGGGAACTCCAATTGCTGAGTTTGGGCGTTTCTGTATGGAAAAAAACACATATAGGTTTTTTACATTGATAATAATAATAGTAGTAACTCAAGACAATTTAGCATCATCAGTGTCACGTTGGAATATACACAATGATGTGTAGACTAGACATGCCTAGTATTGCGTTTATCACGACGTCAGCAGTTAAAAATGCTTCCAAATAAAGGAATTGAGGGGGAGAAGGGGTTCTTTGTAATGGGATTAATGACTCCATCGCTAGCCATGACATGTCAGGTAGAACGCCACATGGTTAAACCAAAAAATCATTTTACTATAATGGCCTGATTGACCGGAATTTATCCTCGCTAGTGCCCCGTCAGAGTATACAGTTAGCACAGGCAAGTGCTTATTAGGATATGCACTATGCTTTAAAATATTAATGTTTTAAATCTAATTTGATAATAAGGAAGATCGTAACGTTTCCAGTAACGGTGGTCAGGTTCCGCACTAGATATTTATTCTAAAAATTGACAGACTTACCAGGAAACCAGTACACGTCAAGCAAGCCCCAAACGCCGCGCCACACGTTGACAGTAGCTATGAAGGAGATGAGATGGTACACGTCGGCCAGCAGCAGCCTGGGCGCGCCGTGGAGCCTCGCAGCCGCCCACCGGATGGGCGCTTGGAGAGCGAACGTGATCACCACCAGCGCGTAGCCCACTATCTGTGTAGAGAACACACATCTGGTTTCATTTCTGCATTCAGCCATTCATCTGTTGGGAAAGTTTGAGAACATATAGTCAACCTCTGAGATACCTGATGTTTGATGATGTTTTCCCTTAATGTAACGTTACTAAAGGAAAATTAATTTAATCTGGAATATAATTGGAATGTCAAACCAGCTAACAGACCATTTGATGTAAAGTGGTAAAGAATCTGTGGCACTTGTAATGTATTGTCATTTCGAGGATTACATTATGCCATCTTACTTTCTAATTTCCACGCTATATTTGAAATATGACAGCTTACAAAGAACAGTTGCTAGCGACAGAATTACACATAATTCTGCATATAATTATTATATAGTCAAGTTTGTACCTCTCACTAGTATTTTTTATATAAGAAAAACCGTTCCAACTGAATCGTAAATTGTTTCTGGAAAAAAAGCTATGTTCCCGCGCAAGGATACAAAACGATAAATACCTATATTTCACCGGCAGTGGATAATGTGAACAGTACAATACCAAAGATAGAATAAATAATATTTGATCCGATATAATATAATCGACACGGAAAATTCAAGTCAAACATTCCCCGACTTCCTTATCTCAACTGTTTATTCTACGGCGACTGGGATGATCATTAAAAGATTTATCAACTAATACCTTAACAACATAGATTTAAAGTTATTTATTGTATTATTAACATAGCAGAATGTAGCGTATTTGTATAGCTATGGAAACGACCGTTCGTGACTCCAAACAATGATTAACATATTTTATGCCTACCTAACTAAATGTACCACTGTTTCACTTTCTAATTTTATGATAACTGTGAGATATATATCACAGCTTTCAGAAGACTATTATTATCTATATTATAGAACTATTCTAGATTTTTGGATCTAATAAACTTTATGCTAGATTTGTTACTGGGTAGGGAGAATTGAGTGCCTTCTGTACTTGAGTATTGTATACTTTCATACAACTCGTCTTACGTCGTTTTTGATTGACTTCTGCAAGACAGATATTAGGAAGATGGAATCATAAATCCCCAGAAGTAGAGAGAGAAGATAGAGAGACAGGTTAGTCGATTAAGATTGATAGGCTAGCCTGTCTCTACCTCATAGGTAGGCTGTCTGTTTAGTTAAAACATTAAAATGTCCGTTCTAGGACCATTTTGATTGAATTATTGGTCGCCCAATAGTCGAAAGTAAACCATAAATCAATTAAATTATAAGTTTGAGCATTATTAAGGTTCTATTGTCAAAGACTATATACTTCTATGCGTGTATGTGTCAAATAAACGTTAGTGTGTACATAGTATTTTTATTAATTTAATTCAAATTTGAAATTAAATTAAATTATGGCTCTTTCGTTCCTTCCTCTATATAAAATATGTTTTATACATTTCTGTATACATAATTTTCGTGTCGTTTTTGCTTCACGTATTAGTATATAGATTTTTTGTCTTAATAAATGTAATCTTTTGTGTTATTTTATAAATGAGTACCAATTATGTAATACAATGAAATCATTTAGGTACTTTAGTTTCATTCATGAATATAAAGTTCCGGTGTCTGAATCTAGACAAAATAAATAGTCGAATATTCATATTACTGCTAGTGTCGTCAATGATAATTAAACACGTAAGTATTTATAATCCTACTGTTTGTTATAACCAAATCGTAATTATACAGGAAATCCGCATTATTGTTCAAAATACAGAGGTAGGTAGGTACCTGTCTGTATAAATCACTACGTTTTTCTCTATTGTAATTATACTAAACATTTACAGAATACATTAAAGGATTCTTCATGGCTTTTGCTATATTTAACCGATTTTAAAAAAATTAGGAGGTTCTATGTTCTATATTTTTTATAGTGAAAATACGAATATTTTGTATTAAAAATATAAAACTGAATTAATTCTAAGTAAGTACGAACTTCAAAAATACCAGACATCATATATAAACTGTTTCAATAATTAGACGCACAAATCCATACAAATAAATAAAATTGAAGTGTCTGTTTCTAATTTCGAATTACCAGCTATTAACTAAAGGCACTTATTAGTTACATCAAAAAAATTTGACGGGACATTTACTCGCAGATAGCTAATGTTATAAGCAGTAGCTTAGGGTACTTTTATTTCTTTTAATTCCATATGGATGTAGTCGAATCTAACATCTAGTTATCTAATAAACACAATAAACGGTCTATATTTCAGGAACTATGGTAATGAGGTAAATGGTACCTACGCCTCGTACCGCTCATACTTACTAATAATACCGCGCGTTCGTCCGTCCGTAGGTTGGTGCGTTGGTGTAGGACTTCAATGTCATATAATTTTTTGGACGTGCAAATAATAATAATAGATATGAATAAAAGAGTGTCGAGGATGAGTTAAAGTATAAATAGGTTGAGTTATGAATCAGTTGAGTTCTTCTCAATTGAATCTGTACACTGAACTGGACGATAGGGAATAAATATTAATAACAAAATACTTACAATAATACAAAAATACTTTCTTAACCGGCTTAAATCTTACATGAATAAATGATTTTTGATTTGATGAATTTGTAGGATAAATACGAGCAATATACACAATAGATTTTCTTATCTCTTGAAGATAAGAAAATCTATTGGTGTTCGTATATTTCAATCAGAGAATAATATATATATAGAATTCAGTGCTGTGGTAAATCACTGCATATTCCTAACTGCATTTCATGTCTATGGCAAATGTTGGAGGTATCAATCGTCCATCATTTTATATCATTAAACACTAGTATACTTATCAAATTCGATAATAAATCGACTAGACTAATTTATAATAATTAAACAAAATTAGTTCTTTAATCTGACATCTGATTAAAGAAAGAACTAATTATAAATAATGATTAGATAATAAAATACATCTGATTTTGAAATAAATGCCCGCAGAGCGTGATAATAAAACTGTGATCATATTTAAACTAAAAATATATTTATCTTATTAAACTTTATACCTGTCATTTATCATAATTAATATTAATGAAGTTTCATTAAAATTAGATAATTATTATCATATTAAAAAACTATATTAATGGTAAAGTTGTTTCATTGTGTTTATTTTTAAATAGATACACTATTTTTAGAATGTTTTTATTTCTCACTATCTAATCCGCGAAAGTTCGTCTGCGTAAATTTTTTGCATTATTTTTCATCAGGTATATGTAACTCTGTTCCTATTGATTATATCATGATGTTATATAGCCTATGATGCTAAAAAAACGTGGTTTTGTTTTTGTAAAAGAATTTTCAAAATTGGTTTATTAGATCTGAAGAGATTTACCGATCTAAACTCTTAACTTTACCTCTTTTAATTATATATTATTACCTTAAAAAAGACATAAGAACATGGCGATATTATTGTATTGATGGTAAATAAATAAAATGGCAACTAAATTTAGTTGTCTATGACACTGACAATTATTAATAATAAATAATAGTTTGTAATTTTGTGAAGTTATTGTAAAAAAATATGTTTACATCGTTAGTAGAGGACAGTTTTAACCTTAAGTACTGTCGTCGTCGTTGATTTTTTTAATGTATTAATTTATTTACTAATAAAGGCTATAGCAAAGAAGGACTCATTGCCCCCCCCCCCCCCCCGGAGTTATGTACTTATAAATTTTATTATAATCAGCATTATGTTATTATAGTTTATTATTTGAGACAAATAAAGATTATTATTATTATATCAGAAATTATAGATGTATGTAATAATAATTTAGAATCTATGTTTAAAGGCACATTACTGTGCTATACTGTGTACCTTGGGGGATAAAGATGGGAGGAAGAATCAATTGCTACGAATATAAGTGGTCACTGACTCAGTGCGCGGTAACATATGACCCATATGCGGAAAGATAACGCTTCTAAATGAAACACCGCCATTCACAGGTTAAGGTTATGTATTCAGCAATTTAGTTTTTTTGCAAAGTATATAACAATCTTACTAATTATGGGTTGATGGATGATTGTTACACTTTCACGCTAAAACTATTTTATTTTGATGAAATTTTCCAGTAATATATATAGTATATATAGATATAGATACATCAGAATAACATAAAAGCAATAATTCAAAAAGATATTACGTATATTGAATGAAATATACATAATATCTTTTTAAATTACACTAATATTATAAACGCAAAAGTTTTTGAGTTTGGATGGATGGATGGATGAAAATTACTTTACTAAAACTACTTTGATGCAACTTTACAGTAATATAGCTTATACATCAGAATAATACATAGGCTATAGTTCAAATAGATATTATGTAAATTTGGCGAAATCATTACACAGTATAAAATAAAGTCGCTGTCGATGTCTGTCTCTATGTACGCTTAAATCTTTAAAACTACGCAACGGATTTTGAAGCGGGTTTATTTAATAGATAGAGTAATAGGAAATAGAAGTAGAAAGTGGAAGGTTTATATATATAATACACCCGTGTGAAGCCGGGCCGAGTAGCTAGTATAATGATAAATGTCAAGTAAGTGTGATGCAGACGAAATTTTGCGGGTCAGCCAGTTTATGTAATTATAACATTTATGTTATCAAAAATGTTTTGTCTCCATAAATAATACAATGAACAATATAATTCATTCACTATAACCGAACCGAAACCGCAAAATATGAGGATTGTTACAATATTTCATTTTTGTTAACGGATATATGAGGTATTAGGTTTTGTTTTAAAGTCTGTATTCAAAGCTACTAATAGGTACCACTTTACAGTACAGTATATAACACAATAGAGGTCAGGCTATTTTAGGCTATTCATCAAATTTCAACCAGATTGAAATCATGTCTGTACATAACATAGGCCTCAAACATAAAATATTTAAATTTAAAATTGCTGTCTCGTACAAATTCTCTATTTACCTCATTTTATAAGTTGCAGTGCATGCATTTTAAATTCATTAAAACAACAATTGACAGTATCTAATTTGATATGTATAGGTTGAAGGATTTTCAAATGTGTCTTCCTATATTTATTTTATATTTAAACGTTTTAATGAAACATTGTCATTAAAATGTTTAAATACGTAAAGCGGTATTTATATACAATAAAACAAAGTTCTTCATCGTGTCTGTCAGTATGTTAGCTGTTATTCTTATAAACCATTGAACCGATTTTCATGCGGTTTTATCTATCAACACTGACGTTGAATATTGAATAAAAGTTGGTCGAAATTTGCGTGCAAAGCCAGGACAGGTTACTAGTTATATAAAATATACATATATTGTCACGTCATACAATCTGACACATTTAGTAAGAAATATAATGTCTTTGTAATCTACTTTAATAATAAATCTATTTAAGCTTCTATTATAAATAGAAGCTTAGTTGAGTCGTAGAATCTTATGATATCAATATATCTATTACTGAATCTATTGTTATCTATTGTTATATATCGTCAAGTACCTATATCATAGCAAATATTTTGGCCTATCATTGCTAGAATAATCCAAAACTTTAGTAGATAAATTGCTAATGTTAAAGTTGTGATTTATACGATTACAGCACAGAACACCTGAAGGAAATAAATGATACATATACTAAAATTTTATATGTTAAAAAATCTATCTTCAACATTAGTCCCTTACAAGGTAGACAGAGAGAAGCTACTTCCATTGTTACATATAACTCTAATGAGCACTAAATAATAAGATTAAAAAAATTATAATTAAATGATTTCTTTAGTCTCATTATTTTGAACTAATATGTACCTATGTTCAAATGCCTGAAAAGTAATGCCTACGTGAATAAATATATATTGTATGTAATAGAATTGTATATTTACAAGTAAAAACAACTAGAAACCTGAAGTTCTTATATAACAATAACTCGTTTCTTTATAACAATATCAAAACAAAACTTAACAATAATAATATCTCAGGATTATTGGACAAGCTTAGCTTAGCTTTGCTTAGCTTGATGGCACTGGGTGCGTTATACAAGCTAGGCAACGCTTGTCTTATGGGCACTAGACAGCTGAAATACATACAATCTGCGACCATCGGAAGTGAGGAGGTGTACTTAACCGCTTGACCACCGAGGTCGTCAGATTGGACCAAGACAAGGAAACTCACCAGTGACGTATAGCTGGATGTGGCTTTATCTTCAGGATATATGAAGATGTCGAGGAGCGCCCAGGACCCTCTCCAGACGAAGACCACTAGCGACCCCACCACAGTCACCGAGAATATGCAGTCCAGGACATACAGCATCGTCTCTCTGCTACTCTGTAAATAATAACACCCATGTTACATACCTGCTCTAATCCTATTTTTTTTATTAAGGACTTTGAGCTATATCTAAGTGCTTTAGCTCTGTAGCCTTGGAACTCGCTGCATAGATCTATTGTGGCGCCCTTTTCTAGTTACGTTACCTAAACTGGTCAGGGACAATAATTGCAAGGATATTCTTAGGAGTGATGATTTTTATCTCCTCAGGATAGGCTAAAACCGCATAGTCCATGCAGTGGCGTTTCCTCTTCAGCTTAGCAATTTATATATTTTATAAATTTGGGACACTATTTCTAAAACGTATATATCCGAAGGTAAAAGAATTTTTACATACAAATGCTGATGTTTCAGAGATTACTCCTCACGTACAAATAATCTCATTAAATTCGCAATCTCTTTACATAGATATTAGTGGAGATAATTTTTACAATAATTATTACTTAATATCTCAAGATATTTGTTTTAAATTAGGTTAAGGTTGCTTTCTGTGTGATAAGTAGGGTTCCGTGAAATAATTTTATAAACGTTGCACAAATTATAATATGAAAGTATCAAAATCTGTAATTACGTAACCAATTTAAAAAAAAAGAAATATTGTTTCCTAATTACAAGTTGATAACTTATTGGAGAATCAGATTATATTATGACTCATTTCATCCCAGCATTGATTATACGATATATACCTATATATCATAGTGACATGACACAATTTACAATACCAAATATTTTGTAAACATTACTCTAGCGTCGTCATTTGTGATAACATAAATTTTTGTTGTTAAATCCGCATTCCAAATTGGCGGTAAGATAAAAAAATGAAGTTTAATGGTGGTGACTGTATCTATATCTGCTTTTGTTGGACCTTGGTAGTTTAGCAGTTTAACACGGCTTCCGATGGTCGTGAGTTTGATGTCTTGTACAATCTGTGTTTATGAGAATGACCATGTGTATTGGGCCGAAATTATTCCATTTATATCGTGTATATAATTCCAAAAATGACAATATTTAGTCATATAGTATCATAGAACTTGGGTTGCCTTATTTTTGGACTAAATCGCGCTGTGTTATATATGTATGTATATACGTGTAAATTTATTATATTTTATTCATAACGATCCCCTTTTCAAATATGTTGACTAAATAAATTTAAATATTATATAAAATAAATAATTAAACAATTGCACATAAAGATCCCTTTGTGAAAAGACGTTATGTACTTATCGATTATAATCACACAACAGATAATTTGGAATTTCAATCGATCGATTAAATTGGGGTAATCCACTGATAACCGGAGCATCATAATGACTAATGTATATAATTAAGTATCTATGTATACATAAACTATAACAATTCTTATCAAATAATAATTATTGGCGGGAAGACGCCGATTGTTTGTTTACTTACTGTATTTAATAATAATATAAACTATGGTAACGTAATATGATTACGACGATTAAGTACACTTTGCATAGTCGTCTGCGTAGGTAATTCTATCGCATCTTTTTAAGCCAAGCAGCTTGTTTTATAAGCTGCTTGTGTTATAGCGAAAAGGGGTTAGAGGACAGTGAGTTTTTTTTAATGGATTATAGTGGGATGTATCACCCAATTGCACTAATGGTGGTGCACCAGTGAAAAATGATAAGTTGAGCATGTATATATGTATAATGATTAACAGTAATGAGTACAAGTGTCAAAAATTAATACGCAAAAAAAATTTGTACCAATTTGTACAAAAAGTGGGCGGATGGAGTAGTATGAAATTTCGTACAGTTTATGTAGATAAGAAGTGTAGAATGCTATTTTTTTTTAATTATTTATAAAAGAAAATGGAATAAATATAAACAGTTATAACTACCATGTAGGTAGTGTGTGTAATATCTGTTTATATTTATTCAATTTTGTTTTTATACACACATGCATTTATTTAATTACGGTCAAATTTACTAGGCGACCAGTAGTCATACTAGTCAAATTACTTTTTCGTAAAGAGTGCCGTAGATTTCCTATTTAACTAGATACAAATATACCCAGAAGGACAGGCAATGCCAAGTGTTACGATCCGTACAACACGCCTGGACCTGACAATGCCTTTGTCTATCCCATTATGAATAATCGTCGTGAAGGGACAATATTATTAATGTTTTCATTTAGCATAATTAGCAACAATATCAAACAATTCTCTGCTGACAATTCTCAGTATAGCATATCAGTAATTTAATCATTATTATCATATCATGTACAAATCGGTACGGAGATTTAACTGCAACAGTACAGATACATTATTACATTACAAAATATGTTGTAATAAATTTACGTATTATACATAAGTATGACATATCATATACTGTATCAAATATAAATCACAGTGACTATTATACATTATATTATATTTATATATTTTTTATCACATTCAAAATGTATCGATTTATGACGTTAACGGGTAGTGAGGCAAGTCATGCTTTCTCGAGATATTCAATAATGATATTAGATTATTAAGATCGTCGGACTAACAGATAAAGGTTTTACTCATCGCCAAAAAAATGCTGTGTCAACGTCTGAGCCATCTAAAACCGCGGTTCCTAGATAAATATTAGATATAAGATAAAAATAAGTTCAATAGCTAAAAGCCGACTACTAAAAACAGTGTGAAATATGAAATGATTTTATCTGAAATTATTATTACTATCGTCTCACTCCCTCAGCTTTTGCTGGTTTTTTTCCACATTATTATTATTATTATTATTGTGTTTTCTATTCCTTTACAAGTTTAAAAGAAGGTAATACTCACCTACACGGGCCTTAGCCAAGTGTGGGAGAGGTTGTGCTGTGTGATGATATTGTTGAGGAGGTCAAGAATTTACGAGTTATGCGACAGGTATTTAGTATTGTGGCTTTTTGTAGGAGATATGTTTTGTCTAATATTATTATTATTATCATTACTAGAACAATACATTCTCACAGTAGTAATGTATGGCATACATACTCGACTATCTATTTCAGAGGAATAAGGAAAAAATACTCCTTTTATTTCCTCGTGAATACATTAAAATCCGTACAGTCGTACGTGAAAAAGTAACAAATAAACGTACAGATACTCTTTCGCCTTGATAATACTGGCTACTGCCTGAAACTTCATCTGCTTTTAGTGAGATAAAAGGTGGCATGTATGCTTTCTTGTAATCTATATTCTTGTCAAATTTAATTAAAATCTGATCTTCAGAATTTACAATATTAATATGAATGCATTATCGTACAAAAAATACCATCCATTTTAGACTTTTCTAGAAGAATTTTCATTAGCATAAACCTTGTCCTGACAACTATGAACAGAACAGAAAACTATGATAACCATCAATCGATTCATTATCAAGTGGAAAATAATTTATCATGATTGTGTATGAAAAATCATCATCACTTATGCGGCAATTGGTTATTGTTTATATTATATAGATAAAATTAGATAAAAATAATCGATAAAGTTTCTTTGCTCACTATTACTTTAATATTATCTATACGGACACCGGTCAGTGTATTAGGTAGGTATACATTTTAGAGATAATGGTAATATCCTGGTGTTTCATTATTGTTTCCACGATATTATGGCAAGAAAAAAATACTTTATTGACAACTAATAATACATAGGAATGCCGGATTAATACGTTTTATGAGTGTAGGCCATTGTATTTCCGCCGCCCTATGGAGGGAAAATTATTAATTTAGAAAGGTATATATACCTAATATACCTTTCTAAAATAATAATTTTCTCTAATTTAACTGTTTGACTTTTATGTAATCGAGTGACCAACTCTCTCGGATATCTGCCGCCCCTAGGTCGCTGCCGCGGCGTATAGGGCCTATTTATAAATCCAGGTCTGATACATAGGTACAAGTGATCACCCAGTGGTCGAAATGCAACCATAAGTAATTTAACATTCAGTAAGACTACAGTCAAATAATATTAATCTATTCTTAATTTTCTTACAGTCTTTAACAATAAACAAAAGAGTATATATGTGTGTATATGTCAAATACATGGTAGTATCTGTAATGTCTTTTATTTTAATTTAATTTATTTTTTATGCATAATTAAACAATAGCATTCTGCACTCTTTTTCTATATAAACGAGTGACCAAAATTTCATACTCCTAAGTCAGCGCAATTTTTGGAAAAAGAAGTACAATGTTTTGGTTAAAGTATCATTACACATTATAAAATAAAATCGCTGTCTGTCCATCCCTATGTATGCTTAAATCTTTCAAATTATGCAACGGATTTTGAAGCGGTTTTTATAATAGATAGAGTAATTCTAGACGAGAGTTTATATATATATAATACATGTACACCCTGGTGAAGACGGGGCGAGTTAATATATAAATTTTCAGCCTATAATATATAAATTGACAACCTCAGTATTACAGCGGATTAGCAGACAGTTTATTTCAGTGGTCACGGATTCGATTTTTCACATGGTACATTAGTATTTATGAGTATAACTGTTTGTATTTGTCTGGATGATTTCTGTATAATATGCATGTACAGTGTTTGTATCAGTTATTTAGTACATATAACACAATCTTTGCTTAGCTTAGGAATACATGGCGCTGTGTGAATTATCCAGGGTTATTTTTTTACTGTTATTTATTTAACGGCTTCGGAGATCTAGCGGTTTAGCACACCGCTTTAAATCCGATTGTCGCGGGTTCGATTCCTCGCAATATACATATATTTGTATATTTGTACCATCGAAGCTGAATATAATATTATATTCTATTATAAGTTATTTTAGTGCAGATTATACTTAGTGTTGACGATTATGGCAATATAAACTACTTTATATTTTTAGGTAGTTACAATTTTCTTAAATGTTGTTATATGGTTTTGTTATTACATGATATTAAGCAATGTTATTATTACTATTATTTATCTAAATTATATTATTATTATTTTTCTAAAATATGTTCCGAATAATATTTTTTACTAATTCCTTAACAAT